GGCTCATGGCTGTGATCTTAGCACTTTGGGAGGCTAAGATGGGCTGATCACCTGAGCCCAGGAGTTCAAGACCAGCCTGGGTAACATGGTGAAACCGCATATCTACAAAAAGTACAAAAATTAGCCTGGTGTGGTGGCAGGCACCTGTAGTTCTAGCTACTCAGGAGGCTGAGGTGGGAGGATCACCTAAACCTGGGAGGTTGAGGCTGCAGTGAGTTGTGATTGTGCCACTGCACTCCAGCCTGGGCAACAGAGACCCTGTCACCAGCACCACCACCATCACCACCATAACAACAACAAAAAAGATCATACCAAGTAAAACACTTGAGGAAGAAAAGAAAGGAAAAAAAAAGATCATACTCATCTGATGCACTATTAAGCACTCCTGCCTGCCAAGACCAGGGGTCTGCAAACTTCTTCTTTCAAGGACCAAAAAGCTGGGTGTGGTGGTTTTTGCCTATAATCCCAGAACTTCAGGAGGTGGAGGAGGGAGGAGTGCTTGAGACCAGGAGTTTGAGACAAGCCTGGGCAACATAGCAAGATTCTGTCTTTACAAAAAAATTTAAAAATGAGCTAGGCATGGTGGTACACACCCGTAGTCCCAGCTACTCGGAATGCTGAGGCATGAGGATGGGTTAAGCCCAGGAGTTTGAGGCTGCAGTGAGCTATGACTGTACCACTGTACTCCAGCCGAGCAGAGCAAGAACTTGTGTCAATTTAAAAAAAAGTTTTAAATTTAAAAAAATTTTAATTAAAATTTTAAGGGGCCAATTCTTAAATGTTTTAGGCTTTGCAAGCCAGTCTTTGTCATAACTACTTAACTCAGACATAGTAAGGCAAACGCAGCCAGACTATTCATGAACAAACTGGACATGGTCATGTTCCAATAAAACTTTATTTAAAAAATAGAAGGCAGGGCCATAGTCTGCCTATCCTGTTCCAGACCGAATTCTAGTTTACAAGAAATACAGACATGGAAAACAAAAGTAAACGATACCAAAAGACAATAATATCACACACCCAGAAAGTGTGACATTCTACAAGACGACTAGCCTGGCTTGTCAAAAAAATAAATAAATAAAATAAATCAATGTCTTTGGGAGGGAAAAAAAAAGACAAAGGGCTGAACTAGATTAAATAAAACAGGTCAAAGAGACATGTACCTTGCATGAATCCTGGTTTGAAAAGCAACATACTAGAGGCTGTATATTCTTCAAAAGGTAACCAAAGAAATTCAAGTATAACATGGATAAGGAGAAGTTATTAGTAAACAAATTATTTTGTAACTATCTCAGGCATGACAGCATCATGATTCTGTAGAAGAAAGTCCTTATTCTTAGGAGATGCTTGCCATAGCTACAAGGAGTAAAGTGTCACAAAGTATGAATGCAAGTTCAGGTTCAGCATAAAACACAGCCAGATGAGGTAGACATGGTGAATGCGGGACCAGGAGCGGGGCACCTGGACGTCCATTCATTACACTATCCTTTCAACATTTCTGTTTGAAACAGCGTATCTGCAGTGAAGTGGAGGACAGGGAGGAGGGTCTCTCCAGCTGGAGAGGCAACCAGGAGCCCAGTGAGGAGGTGCTGCAGCACCTAACCAACAGGCAGTCACTGAGTGGCACCCACCTGCCCTGCAACCCCTGCATTCCTCCCCAGGCTTAGGAGAGGCCAGCTGGCATCAGCCTATGTGGGCTAGGGCTGTGAGGACAGCATCAGTCAGCCAGGAGCAGAGTGGAGGGGCTCCCTCTTGCTAGGTTTCTGGCTCACCCTCTCCATCCACCCAGACTTAAGGTCAGAAACATGGGATCTGGTCTCCAAGAGTAGTTCCAGCAGTGTTCTCTTTGGCAACAGCAGCAGGTACCAAGAAGAAAAGGCAGGTGGGGCTCTCCGGCTTACACAATCTTGGTAAAGGAAAGGGCACGCTGTCTTGTGCAAATGGAAACGAGATCACCTCTCCTGCCTACTGAAACACCTTGCCAGCTCCCCCTGCTCCCGCTCCAGGCTTGCGAACTGTGCCAGGTACTGCTGCATCAGCCGCTCCTGTTTATCAGCCCCCTGCGTCATGTAACAACCCTGGGACAAACCCCAATTTATTAAGCGCCTGTCAAGCCCTGTGGGGATCTCCACCTGGAGTCCAAGGCCTTGGCTGAGCTCTCCAGCTTTGAGCACCTCCAATTACCCTCTTCCAACACTCCTGGCCCCTGGATTCTCTGGCGACACAGAACGCCCTGTGGTCCCTGGAAAGCATGAGCTATTTCACCCCTAAGCCTTTGCATATGCTGTCCCTTCTGGACTTTTCTCCTTGCTCGCTCTGTGGCCAACTCCTATCCAGCCTTCAAAACGCAGCCCAACACCCAGGACCTAGACCCCTACTGGTCTTGATCTGTTTTTACTGGCCATTCATGTTTTGGTCCACAGTTTTCAACTGAGTAGCACCTCAGTTGGCTTGAGAAGGTAATTTTATTCCCCTCAGTGGGGCAAGTATATTTTTTACCTTGGGAGGATACACAATAATTATAGTATAGATTGTAGTAACAAGTCTCATGATATTGTAGACTTCTGAACTGTACGGTCCAAGAAGGTAGCCATTAGCCATATGCGGTGATTTAAATTAATTAAACTTTAAAAATCCATTCCTTGGTGGCTGAATTTCAAACACTCAATCGGCATAGGTGCCTATTGGACAGTGCAGATACGGAGCATTTCCCCAACGGCAGGAAGTTTTCTTCTTTCTCCTATTTCAGGGCTTTTTCTCCTATTTCTTCTTTTTCTCCTATTTATTTTCTTCTTTCTCTTATTTCAGGGCTCTCCAGAGGGTCTGCTGAAACCTTACCCCATGGAAAAGCTAGAAGACTATTTCTCGAAGTGAGGTCCAAAAGGACAAAGTGGGAAAAGGGAACATTTCCCATTGATTACAAAGGGCTAAGCTCCTTAATACATAAAGAGCTAATACATAAATAAGAAAAAGACCAACCACCCAACAGAAAAATATACAGACAATATAGACAATTCAGAATAAGAACCTCACAAGTTAAACACCCTGAGGCGCTGAATTTTCCACTGCTCAGACTGGTATAGATCCAAAAGTTTGAAAACATAAGGCCGTGAGGGCACTCTCAGACATCGCCTAATGGAAACGTTGCAAAACTACCAACGCATTTTCCCGGTGCCTCAGCAATCCTTCATCTAAGCAGTTGTTAGACAGGTCTACCTGTGCACACATCAAATGAGACAGACATGGCTATTTCACTGCAGCATTGCTTATCATGAGCCAAAGGCCGGAAACAACCGCAGTCATCGCTAATAAAGAATGCCTGAATAAACACACTTGGGACACACATGTCTAACTGTTCAAAAAGAAAAAACCAAAACATGAAACAGAGCAGCTGCACCTCTCCATACATCAAGGCAAATTCTCCAGGGTACACTAAGGGAAAAAGCAAGTGCAGGAGCGTGTACAATGCTACCTTTTGTATAAAAAGAAAAAAAAAAACAAGGGCAGCAGGGCACAAAGATCTCCCTCCGTTCTTCCAGGGCACCTAAGAACAGTGATTAACTGGAGGATGGGGTGAGGGGGTGAATGGAAAGGGCAGGGAGGGGAAGCTCCCACTAGACACCTCCTTATACTGTTTCATTTTTGAAATGGATGAGTCTTTATCATATCTTCTTATTACTAAATTGATCTTTTTAAAATGACTCTCTGGACCACCTGCCTCAAAATCAATAGAGATTCTCATTAAGAATGTAGCTCCTCCTGGGCAGGGTGGCTCACACCCGTAATCCCAGCACCTTGGTAGCCGAGGTAGGCAGATCACTTGGGGCCAGGAGTTCAAGACCAACCAACCTGGCCGACATGGCAAAACCCCATCTCTGCTAAAAATACAAAAATTAGCTGGGCATGGTGGCACATGCCTGTAATCCCAGCTACTTGAGAGGCTGAGAGAGGACAATCAGTTGAACCCGGGAGGTGGAGGTTGCAGTGAGCTGAGATCATGCCACTGCACTCTAGCCTAGGCAACAGAGCGAGATTCTGTCTCCAAAAGAAAGCCAGGCACCGGACGCGGTGGCTCATGCCTGTAATCCCAGCACTTTGGGAGGCTGAGGCAGGTGGATCACCTGAGGTCAGGAGTTTGAGGCCAGCCTGACCAATATGGTGAAACCCTGTCTTAAAAAAAAAAAAAAAAAAAAAAAAAAAGGAAAGAAAGCCAGTAGGCATGGTGGCGGCTCACGCCTATAATTCCAGTACTTTCAGAGGCTGAGGCAGGCTGAGACAGACAGATCACCTGTGTTCAGGAGTTCCAGACCAGCCTAATATGGTGAAACCCCATTTCTACTAGAAATACAAAAAATTGGCTGGGCGCGGTGGCTCACGCCTATAATCCTAGCATTTTGGGAGGCCGAGGTGGGTGGATCACCTGATGTCAGGAGTTCAAGACCAGCCTGGGCATCATGGTGAAACCCCATCTTAAAATAAATAAATAAATAAATATAAAAAATATTAAAAAATAAAAAATTAGCCAGGCACGATGGCGCGTGCCTGTAATCCCAGCTACTCAAGAGGCTGAGGCAGAAGAATTGCTTGAACCCGGGAGGCAGAGGTTCCAGTGAGCCAAGATAGTGCCATTGCACTCCAGTGTGGGCAACAAGAGTGAAACTCAGTCTCAAAAAAAAAAAAAAAACAATGTAGGTCCTTGACCCTGGGCAGATCTCCAGGTAGTCACAGGTCTTAAGGCGAGACCCAGTGGTCTAGACTGTTCACAAGCTCTGCCTGTGATTCCAATGTGCCCTCAAGTCTGAGGACGGTGTGGGATCTTCAGCGTAGGAACTCCAGCTCTTCTCAGCCCCAGCTGAGAAGACCCCCACACCAATAGGAGTAGACTCGAAACCCCTATGTATAGGGTGCCAGGGAAAATCTCTCCATCTGTGTATGTACCCCTTCTCCTCACACCAGGCTTGGTCCCTTTCAAGGGCAGCCACACGGAGGCCCAGACCCACCTCTCATCTGGAGAATCCACGTGGAAGGTCCTCTCAATGACTGTGGTCCACTGCAGGCAGCGTATGACGAAGGTGTTGGGCCTCGGCCTCTCAGTCTTCATCAGCTGGCATTCTGCAGGCAGACGGAACAGAGAGGAGGGGGCTGAGGGGACAGCCCTGCCAGCCTGCAGCCCACAGTGCCTGAGCCACCTCCCACATGCCCAGCCCCATGCCAGATGGTGCTGGAGACACTCTAGGGACTGAGACAGCCCTGGTCCTGCTCTCACACAGCTCAGGGTCTAGTGTGTGTGTGGAAGGGGAGGAGCCCACCAGACAGTGACGGCTCCATAGACAGGGCCATGATGAAGACAAGCCCAGAGGTGCCAGAAGCTCAGAGGCAGCATCCAACCCAGCCTGGGGGCGGGGCAGGGGGTTCCCCAGAGGAAGCAGCTTCTCTGAACTAAGCCCTGAAGGAAAAGGGAACTTAGAGGGTACCTGAAGAACAGAGGTGAGAGGTGAGAGGGGGTGTGACATACTCAGGGGGTGGCCAATTCTGCTCCAAAGGTGAGGAGGGGCAAGTGACAGACCAGCCTGGAGAGGTGGGCTGCGGCCAGCCGGGCAGAGCTTTGGAGGCCATAGGGAAGAATCTGGGCTTGGTCCTCAGGGCAGCAGGGAACCACAGAAGGCTTTAGATAGGGAAGGGGCACAAACAGACTGAGACTGAGCCCTCTGGCTTCCATGTAGAGGGTGAGACTGGTCAGAAGGCCAGGGAGGCAGGGAGCCAGTTGGGGAGGAGGGGGTCACACCAGAGAGGAGCCCTACAGAGGGGAGGAGGGGCAGGCAGACAGGCCATGGGGAGAGGGCATTAAGGACAAGGCCCAGGCCTCTGGCCTGCTGTCCCTGACATGGAGACAGGAATAGAAAGCTGGGAGAAGCCTGAAGGTGAGGTTGGGACGTGGCATGAGGGACCTAGAGGACACCTGGGGAGACCTGTCCAAGGAGCAGCCCGGGACAGGCTGGGAGTTCCAGTGAGACGCTGGGGCTGGGAACAGATGTGTCGGAGTCACCAGCACACGTGGAGAGCAACCAGGAAAAGGCTTCACGCAGAGCAGCATGGGATGGGGGCTGGGTTGCAGAGAACGACAGGAGAGGACAGTGGTCTGGGCTAAGGCACTGGCAGTGGAGATGGGGGTGACTCTAACGTTCTTAGCTGGCAGAACAACAGGAAATGGTGACCCATCAGGTCAGCAAGGAAGGAAGAAGGCAGAAGGGGGCAGGGGTGCGGACAGGACCACATTCTCCAAGGCTCTGTCAAGGGCTTGGGGCTTGTGAAATTTCACTGCCTGGGTCCAGCTGGAAGGCATCCCTTTGGGTATCACGGAGGGACAGAGGACGCGAGGCCACTCCTGTGACTGGCTGAGTGGGAAGCTGCAACCCCTCTGTGTCTGAGGGACACAGGATGGAGGCTATTGCCAAAACACAGGACAGAAAGCACCTGCCAGCAGCTGGGACCATGAGGCCTGGCCAACAGAAGCTGGAGCCACAAGGAGGCGATGCGTGGAGCTGGGTGTGGGCAAGCGTCCTGACTTCTCCCTCCCTCCCACTCTGCATCTCCCCTCAGGACAGCCCGCCTGGCCAGCTAACAAGGAGGGAGAGCAGGAGAAGGGCAGACACGGATCCAAGGGCAAGCAGGCCCAGGAGAGGTCGACGGCTCAGTGACCAACGTCCCATGAGCCCCCAGGACCTGCCAGCCATCCTGTGAGCACCAGAACACTGGCTTACTCGTCCCAAGACACACCTGCTACAGAGAAGTTGTTTAAGGGGGGCAGGGTCTGATCTGGGGCCTCGGGCCTCTCCTTGTACCCAATGAAGGAGCCGTCACTCTTCAGCAGGAAGTACCGTGGCCTCCAGGTCTTGATGTATTCACCTGAAATGGGGCAGGAGGGGAGGGAGAGGTTAGCACAACGTTGAGCGATGTCCCAGGTGGGTGGCAGGAGGCCTAGTATGATGGTGACTCACAAGGGGTGCCAAGGGGTGCCAGGTGAGTGGGGGCAGGGGACACATGAGAATGCTTCCCCTGGAGGAGCCCTCCAGGTGGCCTCTGCTGACGCAGACTGGGGTGCTGGGCTGAGCCCCAGTGATCCACAGGTCATGACTGCCAGGAAGGCGCCAGAGGCAGTGCCCTGGGGCACCAGTTGCCTCAGCATGTGGCCTAGTCCCAGGGGAGGCCCAGGCTTCCAAATATACATGCCCTGTGGCCCTATAAGGCCAAATCCCATGGGCTGGTATTCACCAATATAGCTGTGCAGGTAGATCAAATGCCAAAACAACTCTGTGCCAGGTGGGGTAGTGCTGCCACCACACCCTCCCAGCACCCCTTGACTCCTTCCAACTGTTCTGACCATAAAAATCCAAGCACCCTACACACACACACACACACACACACACACACACACAAACCCACTCCTCAGAGAGCTGCTAAGGATTAAAAGGAGATGGTGAAACACATCCACACAAAAACTTAACATACAAATGTCTGCAGCAGCATTATCCAAGTAGCCATCAAGTGGAAGCAACGCTAACGTGCATCGACAATAAACTGTACACTTTAAATGGAAGAATCATGTAGTGCCTCAATTTTACCTCGACGTGGCTATAAAAGGCCAGCACAGTGGCTCCCGCCTGTAAAATCCTAGCACTTTGGGAAGCCGGGACAGGCTTACATCAGTGAGTTTGAGACCAGCCTGGGCAACACAGTGAGACAGTCTCCACAAAAAAATGTTTTTAATTAGCCAGGAGTGGGCTCGCGTGTGCCTGAATTTCCAGCTTCTCAGGAGGCTGAAATGGGAGGATCATCTGAGCCCAAGAAACAAGCTGTGATGGTGCCCCTGCAGTCCAGCCTGGTGACACAGCAAAACTCTATCTCTTAAAAAATAAAAAAAAAAAATTTACAACAGCCTCCAAAAAAATACTTAACCAAGGAGGTGAAGGGCTTTTGCATGTATATAGATCTCTAATTTCTTCAAACAGTGTTTTGTTTGAAGAAATTAGAGATCTATAAACATGCAAAGACATCCTATGTTCATGGATTAGAAGACAATACTGTTGAGATGGCAGTACTACCCAAAGCAATTTACAGATTTAATGTAATCCCTATCAAAATTCCAACAGCCTTTCTCTTTTTTCAGAAATAGAAAAGCCAATCCTCACATTCACATGAAATGTCAAGGGGCCCTAAATAGCCCAAATAATATTGAAAAAGAAGAATAAAGTTTAAAAGACTCATACTTTCCAATTTCAAATTTTACTATACAAAGCTATGGTAATCAAAACAGTGCGGTATAAGGACAGACATAGAGACCAATGGGATAGAATTCAGAGCCAAAAAATAAGCCCAAATATCTACATTTGATTTTCAACACAGGTGCCAAGGTCATTCAATGGCTAAAGAATAGTTTCTTCAAAGAGATCATATTTTTTTCAAAACAAAACAACAAAAAAAAACCTTGAAGAAAAAATATCCTTACAATCTTTGTTAAATACTGTTCCTTGCGGAGCAGGGAACAGTGCCCCACAGGCAATATGCCCAGAGTAGCCTATCCTCACAATCTTATCCCTATTTTACAGATGAGGAAACTGAGGCAACTGGATAACCACATTCAAAAGAATGGAGTCAGACCCCTACTTCACACTACATACCATATACAAAAACAAATTCAAGATGAATTGACCTGAATATAAGAGCTAAAACTAGGCCGGGCGCGGTGGCTCACGCCTGTAATCCCAGCACTTTGGGAGGCCAAGGCGGGTGGATCACGAGGTCAAGAGATCGAGACCATCCTGGTCAACATGGTGAAACCCCGTCTCTACTAAAAATACAAAAAAAAATTAGCTGGGCATAGTGGCACGTGCCTGTAGTCCTAGCTACTCGGGAGGCTGAGGCAGGAGAATTGCCTGAACCCAGGAGGCGGAGGTTGCGGCGAGCCGAGATCACGCCATTGCACTCCAGCCTGGGTAACAAGAGCGAAACTCCGTCTCAAAAAAAAAAAAACAAAAAAAGAGCTAAAACTACAAAATCCTGTAAGAATACATGGGAGTAAAATCTCATCACTTTGAATTTGGCAATGAATTCTTAAATGCCACCAAATGCACAAGCAACAAAAAGAAAAAAATTAAAGTGAACACATCAAAATTAAAAACCTTTGTGCATGAAGGACATTGTCAAGAAAGTAAAAAACCGGCCGGGCACGGTGGCTCAAGCCTGTAATCCCAGCACTGTGGGAGGCCGAGGCGGGTGGATCATGAGGTCAAGAGATCGAGACCATCCTGGTCAACATGGTGAAACCCCGTCTCTACTAAAAATACAAAACATTAGCTGGGCATGGTGG